GGAGCAGCCACAGCTGCTCTGGGCACCCTGTGCCAGAGCCTCAGCACCTCACAGCCAGGAATTCCTGCCCAATGCCCCATCTGTCCCTGCTCTCTGGCAGTGGGAACCATTCCCTGTGTCCTGTCCCTCCATCCCTTGTCCCAAGTCCCTCTCAGCTCTCCTGGAGCCCCTTGGGGCACTGGAAGGGGCTCTGAGCTCTCTCTGCAGCTTCTCCTCTCCAGGCTGAACATCCCCAGCTCTCCCAGCCTGGAGCACCTGATAACTAAGGTCTGGAATAGCAGCAGCTATGGGAAGGCACTAAGTGCCTCTACTCAGCAGTGCTAAAGGAGGCAGCAAGATGCTATTCTAGGGTTTGGGGATTGGAGTTGGAACTAGACTTACCTCAAAGCTATATTCCCATTTACCAAAATACTGATGGAAGGGGAAAACAAAAGGAAATCGGAGTCAGTGGCTCGAGAAACATTTTCTTGTGAAGCTCCTCACCTACCCATGAAAGGAAATCCAATGGCTGAGCTCAGACACTGTGTTTAGGGACAAATAACAGACATTACACTGGATCCAATCAGAGAATCATGGAATGTCCTGAGCTGGAAGGATCCACAAGGATCATCAGTCCAACTCCTGCCCAGGACACCCCAACGATCCACCCTGAGCCTGAGAGCATTGGCCAAACACTCCCTGAGCTCCTGATATCGTACTTATCTTCTCCTTATCAATAATCAAACCTGGAGTTGATTGCTCCTTGAGCCCTGGCAGGCGTGAAATAAAACCTGAGGGATCCATCAGGAGCAAACCCCTAGGGATCCATCGGGAACAAATCCTGACATCATTACTCATGCACAAGGAAACAAACTATTTTCTCTCAGATGTGACATAAGCAAATAAAGGTAAAAATGAGGGTAATATTCCTGGAAAAAAACCAAATTAATGGATAGAAGGGATTCAGGCAACATCTTGCAACTGTTTGTCTGGGGAAAAGAAAAAGGGACCTTAAAGCCCTTCCAGTCCCACCCTGCCATGGGCTGGACACCTCCCACCAGCCCACGGTGCTCCAAGCCCCAGCCAAGCAGCTGGTTGTGTTCTTGGGAGAAAAATATGGGATATTAGGTCTGTTTGGAGGCTAAAAAGACACTAATAAGCACATCATAAACATCAGCACTGAAATGAACGGGAAATTTGGAAGCTGTAGTCAATATTCAGAGTCAAACTCAAGCAAAGCATTTTGTCCATAAATAGAGAAGGGGAGAGGCTGATTAGGAGAAGGAGCAGCCAACCCTGGAGATGCTTCACAAAGGCATGAAGCATTTCTTTTTCCTGAGCTCCACCGCATGGCTGCCTGGGGCTCTGCACAGCCCTGAGACAGCTCCACTGTGGCTCTGCCAGGCTCAGCTTCAGGGAAAAACCAGCACGTTCCTCTGCCAAAAGGAGCATATTCGGCTGGAAGAATTCCAGATTTCCACACAGAATCCATCTCTGAGAAATGCTGGAAATACCTTTTACGAGATGATATGTCTTTGCTAATAGAACAGATTTTTAAATCAGTATTATTTCAGTTTATCCCTGAGCTAAACTATTGGAATATTCCAACTGCAGAGTGTGAAACCTGATGTTGGGAGGAGTTCCAGCTCAAGGCAGTGAGCACACGTGGCAGAGGATGCTGCTGTGCTGAGGATGTGCTGCATCGGGCGTACAGGACCCTGTGGGACCCCCAGAACCTCTCCAAACTGACCTCCAAACCACCCTGGAGCCCAGCAAAGTCCTGTCTGGACCTGCTGGGGCAACTGGGAGCAAGGGCACATCAACCCCTGTTGGGTTTGGGATGGATCGGGAAGCTGTGACACTGACTCTGTGTCCTTGGCCTCTGTCCAGTGCCTAAACTTCTGCTTAAATCAATCCAAAAGTGATTAAAAATCAATTATTACTTGCTTAATGGGTTGAAACAAAGAAGGGTAAGGTCTTAGATCTCAGGTGTCAACTGCTGGTGTGAATTTTGCTTAATGGGATGAAACAAAGAGGGGTAAGGTCTTAAATCTCAGGTGTCAACTGCTGGTGTGAATGTCCTCATAAACACCTAAATGTTGTCCTCGTAAACACCTAAACATTGTTCTCCTAGACACCTAAACACTGTCCTAGACACCTCAACATTGTCCTCATAAACACCTAAACATTGTCCTCAGAAACACCTAAACATTATCCTCATAAACACCTAAACATTGTGCTCAAACTCCTAAACACTGTTCTCCTAAACACCTAAATATTGTCCTCCTAGACACCTAAACATTCTACTCATAAACACCTAAACCTTGTGCAAATATTCAGGTGGTTTGTGCGAGGAGAAAAACAATCTTCTTACCAAAGAGAAAAGTGGTTTAAATTCAGATTACGGAAAATGAACATTTTGAAGCAATAACTGACTTTTTCACCCCTCTAGAAATAAAATTGAGGGAATAATTATACATAAAATAAAAATGCAGCTTCAAAGCTGGTGGTGAGCTGAACTGCTCTGCTGTGCCAAGGGGAGCTGTGGCAGGAGGCACCAGCAGCAGCCCCAGCCCAGCGACTCCCTGGGGCACAGCAGAGCTTCAGGGTGAGCAGACACAGCCTCAGGCTGTGCCAGGGGAGGCTCAGGTTGGACATCAGGAGGAGTTTCTCCATGGAAAGGGCTGTCAGGCTTTGGGATGTGCTGCCCAGGGAGGTGGTGGAGTCACCAGCCCTGGAGGTGTCCAGGGAACAACTGGACATGGCACTCAGTGCTCTGCTCTAGCTGACAAGTGAAGTGCTGATACAGGTTGGACTTGATGATCCTGGAGGTCTTTTCCAACCTCAGTGACCTGGGATTGTACCAAGGACAACCCCTTGACCCCTCCACACCTCAGCATCGTACTCCCACAGCTGGTTGCCCCTCATGTGGTGGCACTTGAGCATGATGATGGGCCCGTTGAGCCGCGACACGTCCAGGCACAGGTCGTCCGTGCGGATCTCCTTGTCGGCTGTGTAGGAGAACACCTGGGGACACACAGGAGGGAGGCCCCTGGGATTGTACCAAGGACAACCCCTTGACCCCTCCACACCTCAGCATCGTACTCCCACAGCTGGTTGCCCCTCATGTGGTGGCACTTGAGCATGATGATGGGCCCGTTGAGCCGCGACACGTCCAGGCACAGGTCGTCCGTGCGGATCTCCTTGTCGGCTGTGTAGGAGAACACCTGGGGACACACAGGAGGGAGGCCCAGAGGTTACAGATGTCCTGAGCGTGTGGCTGTCCCACCCCTGGGAGTGCTCCAGGCTTGGATGGGGCTTGGAGCAGCCTGGGCTGGGGGGAGGTGTCCCTGCCATGACGTTAAACAAGATGAGCTTGAAGGTCCTTCCAAGCCAACCCAGTGTGGAATTCTGTGACTCCATGGGTGAGTGATGCCTGACCTGACACTGCAGGAAGCTGCTTTGGAAAACTCACCATCTTACAGGAGAGAAATGAATGCTAATGAAGCTGATGTAACATTCCCACTTGGCTACCAGCCACATTAATTACGGAGGTAATTAGATTAATGCCAGCTAAAAATAGAGGGGGAGAAACACTTGGCATTTTCCAGCTAATTAAAGAGTGTATTTCACACCACACACTGCAGTGCAAGGCAGGGAAGGACATTCCTCCAGGGCTGGGGCCAGGGAAGGATGTTCCTCCAGGGCTGGAAATTCATCCCTCAGGGCTCGCACACATCTCCCAGGACAACTCTGGACCAAATTCGGCTGTGATGGGAACCCAGAGCTGAGCTGCTGCCCTGCACAGCAGTGCTGGGGGTGGAGGGCATTTGTTGCTACACAAACAGCTGTGGAATGAAGCTGCTCCAGAGGGAAAACGCGGCAGGAATAATCCCCACACAGCCCCAGCACAGACCTGGGCACGGCCCAGCCTGAGGCAAGGGCATATGTCACACCTAGCAAAGCTGCTAAAGGAATTAAAGTATAAAGAGGCTCTAAAAATATTAATTGCTCGGAAAAATTAAGGAAAATTAATTCTCTTGGCTGAGGCTCTTGGTGTGGGGAATTGTTTCTGCAGAGGATAAAACTGGAGGTTTGTGGTGATGTTGGCAAAGGTATTTCAGATTGCCCTGACTCAACCCAGGGACTATTCATGATGTTTACAATCATGGAATCATGGAATGGCTTGGGTTGAAAGGACCTTGAAGATCCTATAATCCCTCCCCTGCCCTGGGCAGGGACACCTCCCACCAGCCCAGGCTGCTCCAGCCCCATCCAACCTGGAACACTCCCAGGGATGGAGCAGCCACAGCTGCTCTGGGCACCCTGTGCCAGAGACTCAGCATCTCACCGAGAAGGATTTCTTTCCAATATCTCATCTAAACTTTCCCTCCTTGAGCTTAAAGCCATTCCCTGTGTCCTGTCCCTCCATTCCTTGTCCCAATTCCCTCTCAGCTCCCCTGGAGCCCCCTGAGGCACTGGAAGGGGCTCTGAGGTCTCCTTGGAGCTTCTCTCCCCCAGGCTGAACATTCCCAGCTCTCCCAGAGCAGAAAGGCTCTGGAGCATCCCAGCCCTTCACTCCCAGCAGGGTGGCCAGGAGCAGAGGAGTGGAATTCCCTGCTCCCAGGACTCTGTGGCTGTGCACTGCCACCCCCAAGTGAACCAGCTCTGCCTACTTCAGTCTCAGGCATTAGCATATGCCAAGTTGATGCTTATTAAGCCAGAGAGGAGGTACAGACATCAGTGGCACAATGAGCCTCAGGATTCCATGACCTTCCCTTCCCAGCCCCAGAGTGAAGCATCCCATGCTGCCACCACTGGAGTTTCCATTCATGGAAGAAATCACCTTCCATGGATATTCTGGACAAGTAGTTGTTCATATCCACCTTTAGGGACAGGAGGAACCAGCAGAAATCACGGAGATTCCTTCCCTTTTCACCTTGAGATTTTGCTCCCAGTGGCAGAAAATAAATAAATGAAAACAGGCAAGGAAAAATAATGGATAAATAGAAATTTGTGATCAAAAAGTCTAATGTTCCTGTTGGAAATGTTCCATGTGTTGTTCATTAACAGGAACAGATTCCATATAGCCACTTGGATATTCCACAGGACCTAGGGATCTGTACCAAATGCCCTCAAAACTGGGAGCTGAAATGGAAGAAATTGGCTCAGTATTCCTAAAATTCTTCAGGTATTTTTGAGACTTTCATTGATTATTTTATCATATTTAAATATAAATGTAAGATAGAATTCATTATTTAAAAAGTTTAAAAATCAAATCTAAGATATGTCCTTTAAAATAGAAAAAAAAATCAATATTTTACATAGAAAACTGAATTATTTCTCACTATTATCATTTCTAGTGAGCCAAGGATCACTGAGGGAACCTCATTCCTACCAGGACAATGGCAGAATTCTCCAGGACAAGTCCCAGCCCTACCTGGGTGGTGCTTTTCACCACCCTGACCCAATTATTGTCCATATAAATCACTTTTTCTCTTGCTGTTTTATCCTTTACCTGGTTTCCCCCCATGCCGTGGCAGTTGAAAAATCCAACTTTCTCATTCTCCTTGCGGCCCATGTTGTCCAAGCACTGGTTGGTTTGCACATTCCTGATCTGAAGAAAGAAAAGAGGTGAAATATTCCTTGGAAAATATAGCCCCATGCAACCTGGCCTGGAACACTCCCAGGGATGGAGCAGCCACAGCTGCTCTGGGCACCCTGTGCCAGAGACTCAGCATCTCACAGAGAAGGATTTCTTTCCAATATCTCATCTAAACTTTCCCTCCTTGAGCTTAAAGCCATTCCCTGTGTCCTGTCCCTCCATCCCTTGTCCCAA